CTCATGTTCTCCCTCTTCAGGGATTAGACCACCTGCTTGTGGCTATAGCTGCTCACGCCCACCCCATCGAGCACTTAGGGAGCCAGCTCCAGGGGTGGCCACTCCCACATGCCTTGCCCGCTTCATCTGGGGCTCAGGTAGCTTGGCCATCAGGAAGAAGGAAGGCTCTTCTCCAAGTGAGCCAACACTACGTGTCTCTGCTATTCAGGGTCTGTTTATGTAGATTCTATAACATGCTCTGTTCAGTTCAGTGTGCTATTGTGCAGCAAACACTTTGGAAGAATATATATATATATATTTTAAAAAATTTTATTGTCAGGATATATCAACATGTCCATTATTCTAACATTCCCTCATTCATATTATACCCCTTTTCGTTCCCCCCCTCCCTCCCCTTCTTCGGGCTTCCCGCAGTGGTCCCACCCCCTCCAAATTCTTTTTCTTATTCATCCCCTCTTCTAAACAACTCTTACTAAATAACAATTCTTTATGCTATCTTATTCTTATAACTTTATAGGTAACATTTTCTTTAACTGTAATCAACTTCTACTTCATTCCTTCTTCATTCTACACTTTGGAAGATTATTGAAAGGTCTCTTGAGATCTCTTGTTCTTTGTTTAAGGTTGCTAGCAGAAGACTGGCAACTGGCAGGAGACTGACCTGTCCTCAGTGGCGTGATGGTGTCACTTCCGGCTTGACGGGGTGCTTCCACACACACACACACACACACACACACACTAAACAACACACCTTCAATCCACCTCCAGTGCACTTTTTAACTGGATCTTAATGTGTGAAATGGCAAAAACCACTTGCAAACAGTTGTGGAAGGTAGATTGAAGCGGCATTATTTAGCATGTGTGAAAGGGCTCGCACCTGTTGCCAGAGCGATGCTATAGCATTCTGCCAAAGCTCTGTGGTTTAACCCTAGAGTCACTGGCAATGCCGTGATACCGCTTCCAGTTGTGCCGTAACTCCCATCATGCCAGGATGTCTGCTATTGCTTCCTCCATCCCCCCCCCTCCAGTTTTCTCCCACCACCCAGCTGGTGGGAAGAGCCAGATGTGGGAACCTGGTAACCCTGTCTCCTTTCCTTAGTGTCTTGAGGAAGACAGTGGAGGACTTGGGTTACATGCTATGTATTTAGTTATACATTCAATATTTAGACCACCCTCCCTGAGCTGCGGTGGCTCAAGTGGTATGCGGGTAGAGTTGCCAGCTCCCAGGTCCAGGCAGGGATTCCCCTGCCTCTGGGGGCTTCAATCCTCCCCGGCCAACTGGCTGGCAAGGGAAGCCCCGCCCCAAACCCCGCCCCCCAAGAGCAACCACCCACCTGGCCACACCTCTCCCTCCCTTAAAGGGCTTCAGCTGATCAGTGGAGACTACGTGGACCGGTGACCAGCTGGAGGCCCTTTTAATTCTAGCAGGAGGAAGGGAGAGGGGCGGTTGCGGGCCACACATTTGGCTCGCAAAAAGACCCTTGGTCCCCGCCCTTTAGATCGGGCAAGAGAGGAGGAAGAGGGGTGGCCCAGTGGGTCGTTGCTCCTGGGGGTGGGGCTTGGGGGGCATCCCTGCCCACCCCTGGAACACCTCCCCCAACTCCCCCCGTTGGAGCGATGAGGGGACCTGGCGACCCTGGCTGCAGGCAATGCTCCCTCTAAGCTGTGGGGTCTTGTGAGCAAAAATTCTGCTTTGTGAGCTACTGGCATTAAAGGTGTGAGCGAGCGATTTGGTTGCTGCCTAAATTAGTTTGCCCTGGAGCCATCCTCCCTGATCGAAGACAAAAGTGTGTGAGCCGGAGGATAAAAAACTGTGAGCTAGCTCGTACTAACTCATCCTAGAGGGAACACTGCCTGCAGGATATATTATTCACCGTTTAAAGGTGCTGTTAAAGTGTCCCAGGATGTGGATGAGAAAGAGGCTCCTACTAAAGCAACCAAGGGACAAGTTGGGGAAATACCTTTGGAGAAGGGAGAAAGGCAGTTCCTTTCAGACTTGCGCTTGTCGGCTAAAATGGGATTTCACGTAACTTCTGACAAGTTTCACCAACACTTCACACCAGAAGGCCAAGGTCTGGCTTAACACCTCCTTTCAAAAATTAACAGGTGAGAGAGCAAGCAGGCTCAGATAGGCATTGCCACTAAGGGCAGTCTTAGCAAATGGGCTCATAGTTGAGGGCAGCAATGGGTTCCATCTTGGATTGGCTTCCTCCGCCTCTCCGTTCTTCCCTTCCTCTCCCCGCTCCTTTCTGAGTAGATAGTGTGTCTATTATTCCACTTGGGATTTTATGCCATCTTTTAATTGCATTGTTGCTTTGTATTTATTATGAATTTTAATGTATTGTAATTATATATTTATCTTAGATTGTTGGATGTTTTATTGGTGGTTGCCACCTGCTCTGAGTTTGGTCATAGGGGAGAGCGGGCTATAAGTCTAATAAATGGAATGAAATGAAAACTGGGGCAGCCACCTCGGTCTCCATGCTCAGGGTGATCACCACCCGCTGGTGGGGTTGCCAGGTCCAATCATTGCCACAGTGGAGGGAGAAGGGACATTCCGGGAGTGGGGAGGACCGTTGTGACATGCAGACATAAACAAGAAGTGACATAGGCATGTCAGGGGCAATGCTCTAGTTTTTGGGTAAAACTCTATGATAGAATTTGCTCCAAATCATAGAGTTTGGCCCAAAAACCAGAGCGTCGCCCCTGACGTCCCCCACATGATCGCCTACGTCACTTCCGGTTTTTGTAGGCATGTCACAGTGATTTCCGGGTTCCTGCCAGTAAGAGGGGGTGATTTGGGGGGGGAGAGGAGCGCCCGAAAGTGGGGGACCCCCCACCGAAAGTGGGAGACCCCCCACCTGCACCAGACAGTCTGGCAACCCTACCCACAGCCCCCCCCCCCATGGAGGGGTGAAAGAATGTGAGCAGGCTCCTGCTGCCGGTGCTGCTCATGTTCTCCCTCTTCAGGGATTAGACCACCTGCTTGTGGCTATAGCTGCTCACACCCACCCCATCTAGCACTTAGGGAGCACTCCAGGGGTGGCCACTCCTGCATGCCTTGCCTGCTTCATCTGGGGCTCAGGTAGCCTGGCCATCAGGAAGAAGGAGAGCCAGTTTGGTGTAGTGGTTAAGTGCGCGGACTCTAATCTGGGAGAACCGGGTTTGATTCCCCACTCCTCCACTTGCACCTGCTGATGTGACCTTGGGTCAGTCACAAGCTCTGGCATAGCTGTCCTTGAAAAAGAGCAGTTTGTGTCAGAGTTCTCTCAGCCCCACCCACCTCACAGGGTGTCTATTGTGGGGAGGGGAAGGTAAAGGAGTTTGTAAGCCGCTCTGAGACTCCAAGTGAAGGGCAGGGTATAAATCCAATCTCTTCTTCTTCTTCTCTTCTTCTCCAAGTGAGCCAACAATACGTGTCTCTGCTATTCAGGGTCTATTTATGTAGAGTCTATAACATGCTGTGTTCAGTTCAGTGTGCTATTGTGCAGCAAACACTTTGGAAGAACATTGAAAGGTCTCTTGAGATCTCTTGTTCTTTGTTTAAGGTTGCTAGCAGAAGACTGGCAACTGGCAGGAGACTGACCTGGGGGGGGGGGAGAATTTGCTGGCGATGTAACGATGTCCTCAGTGGCGTGATGATGTCACCTCCGGCTTGACGTGTGGGTGCTTTCACACACACACTAAATAACGCACCTTCAATCCACCTTCAGTGCACTTTTTAACTGGATCTTACTGTGTGAAATGCAACTTGCAAACAGTTGTGGAAGGTAGATTGAAACGGCATTATTTAGCATGTGTGAAAGTGCTCGTACGTGTTGCCAGCGATGCCATAGCATTCTGCCAAAGCTCTGTGGTTTAACCGTAGAGTCACTGGCAATGCCGTGATACCGCTTCCAGTTGTGCCGTAAGTAACTCCCATCACGTCAGGATGTCTGCTATTGCTTCCTCCATCCCCCCCCCTCCAGTTTTCTCCCACCACCCAGCTGAGTGGCAGTGGGAAGGGCCAGATGTGGGAACCTGGTAACCCAGTCTCCTTTCTTTACTGTCTTGAGAAAGACAGTGGAGGACTTGGGTTACATGCTATGTATTTAGTTATAAATTCAATATTTAGACCACCCTCCCTGAGCTGCGGTGGCTCAAGTGGTTAAGACGCTGAACTACAGGCTGTGGAAGGTCAGGAGTTCAGCAGTTCGAGACCCGGGTGCCGCATGATGGAGTGAGCTCCCATCTCTAGTTCCAGCTCCTGCCAACCTAGCAGTTCGAAAGCAAGAAATTGCAAGTAGATAAATAGGTACCACTTCGGTGGGAAGGTAACAGCGTTCCGTGCGCCTCGGTGTTTAGTCATGCCGGCCACATGACCACAGAAACATCTTCGGACAGCGCTGGCTCTTCGGCTTTGAAACGGAGATGAGCACCGCAACCCTAGAGTCGGATTCGACTGGCTTTCGAGCAAGGGAACCTTTACCTTTACCCTGATATTTGGGTCTCAGGGCAGTGTAAAGCATTCAGGAATACAGATCAATTAAAATACAATTTCAAGGACAACTTACAATTAATTAAAACTGTAAAAACAGGTATAAACAACAGTTTCAAGTACAATAACAGTCCAGATGGCGTCTCAAATCAATTTGTCCTTACCCCAAGGGGGGAAAGTGAGTGGAAAAGAGGCCAGGCTGATTAAAAAATGTTGCTGTCCTCAACCGTAGGCCTGGCGGATAATCTCTGTCTTACAAGTCCCGTGGAACTGAACTAGGCCCCACAGGGCATGGATATCATTTAGCAGAGAGTTCCACCAAGTCGGGAACAGGTTCGAGAAAGCCCTGGCTGTGGTTGAGGGCAGCCGGATATCTCTTGGGCCAGGGATCTCTAGAAGATTTTTCTCAGCTGAGCGGAAAGCTCTTCAGGGTGTGTGAAAATCACTGCCAGATCCCTAACCCTTTGTCAGATATTGGTGTGCTAGAGGTCTCAAAGCTAATATTTTTTTTCTCTCTCTGCAGATATTATCGGTGTGACCGGAATCTGGTGTGGAACGCCGGTGCCCTGCATTACAGTGATGTGGTGGAGGTGATCAAGGGGCTCAGCCGTATGCCTGATGGGCGAGAGGACCTGCAGAAGCGAGTGTCCTCCGTGGTTTCTATTGGGAAAGGCACCTACACCGACTGTGCCATCAAGAGAGGAATCGAAGAGCTGCTCATTGGGTGAGTGGGCTTTTCTCATGCCGTTGATGGGGGAAGAAGGAAGTTAGGGAAGGCTCGCTCTCGTCAGATCTTGGAAAGTAAGCAGGGCTGGCCCTGGCTAGTATTTGGAAGAGCAACCTCCCAGGAATACCAGAGCCATGACGCGGAGGAAGACCATGGCAAGCCACCTCTGAACCCCTGAACCAAAAGGAGAAGGGACCCAGTTACATTTTTGCATCGAAAATATCATCAGGCTTTTGAATTTCAAACCCAGGTTTTTTTCCTAAACCTGATCAGGGTCCAAGAGGCAGTGAACATTAAAAAAAAACACACATTAAAACGTTTGAGTAATTAAAATAGAGTTAAAATGGTTAAATAATTCAATTAAATGCACATAAAGAAACAATGCAGAGGCAGGCAGTGGCAAACCGCTTCTGAATGTCGCTTGCATTGAAAATCCGACGGGGTTGCCATAAGTCGGTTGTGACATGACAGCGCTGTCCACCACCAAACAGACACTAGAAAGTGGGCCAATAACCATTATTGGTGAGATGGCAGATGAAACGAAAAACTTCACCTGCTTGCAGAAGACAGCAGTAGAGGGAGGTAGATGATTCTCCCTGGAGATGGAGTTCCAAAGCTTTGGTGTCACAACCCAGGAGGCTCTGTCTTGGGTCACCACCCATCTAGCCTCAGATGTGGGGGCAGATGAAGCAGGGCCTCCAAAGAGGACAGGAGTGAGTGGGGGGCTTCGTATGAGAGCAGGTGGTCTTTAAGATGGAGCCCATGCCATGCCGTTGCTCTGTTCCTATCTTCCTGAGTGCAAGCATGCATTCCCAGATAATGCAGCGGCCAATCACGCTTCCACGTAGTGCAAAAAGCTAGCTTTGGCAAGCACTGCTTTGTTGCACCAAATGCGTCAGGCAGAGCAACTCTGAAAAATATTCGGTGATGATGGGATCATCCATGTGGTACATGGACATGTCATGTTTAACAGAGACAGTGTTGATTGTTCATCACTTAACTGGTTTGAATGTTTTCCAGGGGCTCTCATCAGAAGGAAAATAAATATCTGGTTGTGGTGACAGACGGCCATCCCTTGGATGGCTATAAAGAGCCCTGCGGAGGACTGGAAGATGCTGTCAACGAAGCCAAGCACCTGGGCATCAAAGTGTTCTCCATTGCCATCTCTCCAGATCATCTGGTATGCAGTGCGCCTGCATGGGGGTTGTTAGACCAACTGGCCATCCATAAGCAAAGGGAGTCAGAGTAGAAACAGGATATTACTTAGTGTAGAAGTGAGCATGCATGGGGGTTGTTAGACCAACTGGCCATCCATAAGCAAAGGGAGTCAGAGTAGAAACAGGATATTACTTAGTGTAGAAGTGAGCATGCATGGGGGTTGTTAGACCAACTGGCCATCCATAAGCAAAGGGAGTCATAGTAGAAACAGGATATTACTTAGTGTAGAAGTGAGCATGCATGGGGGGGGTTAGACCAACTGGCCATCCATAAGCAAAGGGAATCAGAGTAGAAACAGGATATTACTTAGTGTGTCTACTGGATCTTCAGATTCTTAGTGGGCCATGAACTGAGAGGAGACCATTTTCGTCTAAACTTTGACCCTGTTCTTCCTCGAGGCACTCCAAAGTCACTGAGATCCATCATATTCCTGAAATGTGGTGGTTTCAGCAACAAACTCCAATGTTCAGAGAAGTAAGAGCACAAAGGCCAGGCTAACAGGCTGATTTAAATGTGGGACATGCCTTCTTCCTAAGGGTCGGGATAGATGCAAGTACATATGCTAATAAAATATATGACTATATAAACTAGGGGTGTGCAAAAAAAATCAGTATTTTAGGGTTCGGGTATATTGAACCCGAAAAGTATCAGTATTTTCTGATATTCCCGAATCCCAATACTGGTATGATATCAGGATTTGGGATTTTTCGGAAATCCTGAATTTTTTCGGTTCCATTATACTGTATGGGGACCATTATAGTCAATCGTCCTCATATAACGGAGAATTGATCCAGGGATATTTGGGGCTTAACAAACAGTGATTAACACATGGAGTTCACTGCCACAGGAGGTGGTGGCAGCTATAAGCATGGACAGCTTCAAGATGGAACTGGATAAACATATGGAGCAGAGGTCCCTCAGTGGCTATTAGCCACAAGGTATAGATAGGGTACAAGGTATAGATAGCCACAAGGTATAGATAGATCTGGGGCAAGTGAAGCTCTGTATTCTTGGTGCTTGGGGGGGCAACAGTGGGAGGGCTTCTAGTGTCCTGGCCCCACTGGTGGACCTCCTGATGGCACTTGGTATTTTTGGCCACTGTGTGACAGAGTGTTGGACTGGATGGGCCATTGGCCTGATCCAACATTGGCGTCTCTCTTATGTTCTTATGCTCTGGGGCAGGGCTGTTTTTTTGTGGCAGAGGCACCAAATTTTAAGCATAGCCTGCTAAAACCTCTCCTAAAACACTGCCCCAAGTTTCAAAAAGATTGGACCAGGGGGTCCAGTTCTATTTGGCCCCCAAAGAAGGTGTCTGCATCCTTCATTGGTTTCAGTGGAGGGGGAAAGTGTTTAAAGGGATCACAGTCCCTTTAAATGCCTTCTCCAAGCCACAATTCTGCGAGTGAACTCCGAAGGTGTGGAAAGGGCTTGCAGTCCCTTTAAACACCTTGTCCAAGCGGCAGGTTTACCCAGGAGGCATTTAAAGGGACTGCAGTCCTTTTAAATACCCTTTAACTTCAACTATCCAGCAGCCCTGAAAAATCCTGAATTTTGGGGGGATTTTTGGGGCTTGGCCATTTTGGATAGACAAAAAATAGCCAAATCTATATGCAGCTGAAATAATAGCCAGAAAATACCTATAAGGTATTTTTCAGATATTATTTTGGCTCAGATTTAACTAAATACACACCTCTAATACAGGTCAAAAGGGAATGAGCCAAACACCCTGCCACAAAATGCTCACTTAGGTGGTTTTAAGTCTCAGACTTCAAAAAAACTTCAGAGGAAGTTATTTATGTAGCTATAGAACAGAGACCCAGAACTTATGTACATATGCTTGCCGTTGAAACTTGGAAGTAATTTTTTTCCCTCACAGTGAAACATAATGCAGGAGTCAGTCTGTGTTTCTTTAATATATGTTGATGAATTACGAAAATGAGCCACATTGTCAAAGGTCTCAACTGAATCAAGCGGTTGGCAGTAGAAACACATGAAGCTTCTTCTCATGTTGTCTCTCTGTGCTCGTTTCCTCCTAGGAATCCAGGCTGAGTGTCATTGCCACAGACCACACCTATCGCCGCAACTTTACGGCAACTGCATCTCAGCAGCAACTTGAGAGAACAATCGACACCATCACTAGTATGATCGTGAGTCTTCCCATCTCTGCTTCTTGTCTGCCTAATCATTTCCAAGGCTATCTTCTTCCTTTCTGCCTCATCATTTAATTTCTTTGTTGTTATTTATTTCAGACGGAGAACGTGGAGCACGGGGTAAGTTTTCCCCGCTCTTTTTGAGCTGGGGGATCATTTTGGCCTATGTCTGCTTCCCGTAGTTTACGACCATTTCCGCTCCCCTTGAGCTCAGTCTCGCAAGGCAGATCTCATCAGAGGTCCAGGACTCTCTATTTTCATTGTCTAGAAACAGCAACTTGATTTTTTAAGTAGGTCGGTGGGAGGGTTAGTCATTATGTAAGAGGCCCCCAAAGATTCTCCTAACTAGATCACGGGGCAAGCAACCTCTGCAGAGACAAAGGATCTTTGCATCTGCTGGTGTAAAGTGCTGTTAACATCCTCAGTGTGGAAACATTTGACTGGAAAACAACCAACAGTCAACTGTTGGTGTTGGAAACCATCTGCAGTGACTGTCATCTCCAGCTTCCAGCCCCATTGCAAGTTGTTGCCCTGCTCTCTACGATCCCGCATTTTCAAGCAATGGTAGGAAGTGGTAATGTGATGGGCTTACAAGTGACCACCCGTCCATACTTGTAAGCCAGAGATCCCCAACGTTTTTGACCCCGTGGGCATATTTGTTATTCTGAGAGGGAACGGTGAGCGCTACCCTAAAATGGTTGCCACTGGAGGCAGAACCAGATCTAAAATGGCTGCCACAGGAGGTGGACTTGAATAGAATACCAACCCTCCTCATGCCTCCTGGGAGTAAGGAAACCCTGAAGAGAAATGGGGCCACACGCTGACTAAGGAAAGCTTCCCAGTCCTCCTGATCCTCCAGTGGAAAACCCTTTCATTGGAATGAGGACAGCCAATAACAAGCCCTCAACCCTCCTCATGCCTCCTGGGAGTAAGCAAACCCTGAAGAGAAGTGGGGCCACGCGCTGACTAAGGAAATCTTCCCAGTCCTTCTGATCCTCCAGTGGAAAACCCTTTCATTGGAATGAGGACAGCCAATAACAAGCCCTGCCTTACAATGGCCCCACCCACTTTCTGATAAGCTTGGGAGGCACCAAGGGACGTACTGGCAGGTGCCAAGGGCACCACGTTGGGGAACCCTGCTCAGACCACTAGGCAGAAAGACTTTCAGTGTTTACCATGTGGTTCCTGGTCATCTGTTTCCATCCTAAAGCCCCCACCGCCTGGCGGAAGGGATTGTGGCTTTATGCCAAGGTTGTCTTTCACTGATTCATGGCAGACCTCTGCCAGAGGAGACGCCGGTGGATCAGTATGGAAAGTTTCTGAGAGGAAAGTCGGTGGGAGTGATCGTATCGTACCTACAGTAAGGTAGACAACTATACATATTGACAAATTTTTTGCACATTTTTGTAGGGGAAAATAGCATGCACGAATAAGGGTTTTTAAAAATCCTGATGGAAATGACATTAATAGGAAATCAATCTTGACAGGCTGACTTTGTTTTGAATTTGTGAACCTACGGAGGCCTTATCCTGGCAATGCAATATCGCCGGGTCTTGTGTCGTCGTTTCAGGTTGATCACGTTAGCATTCAGTTAGCTCAAGAAACCACTAGTCTAGTTCACTTATCTATAGCTGCAAGAAGTGCGCCGTGTCTGCCTTCCCTCTTTCATGGGACAGAAGCAAGCCCTGAGTTTGCTTTCCACTTGAGTTCTCTGGGAAGAGTGTTTTCCTGTGAAACCTGCTCTCTCTCTTTCCTCTAATGCCGTTCTTTCTCTTGGTTGGCAGTGCTGCTCCTACGAATGCCAGGTAAGCACAGTTGCTTCCTCATTTACAATATATTATTTGATCTATATTAATTGGAACCAGTAGGCCTCACAGTACTCAGTACTAATTGATATCTGTTTGTTATTGTATTCCAGCCCGCGCGAGGTCCCCCAGGGCCAGTTGGAGATTCAGGATATGAGGTGCGTTTCTCATTCATCTCACTGCTGTGTTTCTTGTACATTACAATTAATGTCTCTGTACAATGCTCTGCATGCATTATAATCCATATTTCTGCTTAATGGGGTGTTCATTACCCATGCTCACAACGTATACCGTGTATGTTTGGTGGGGCTTTTTTTCTGGAAAACGAGGTGCTGGAATTCTCAAGTGGGAAATGACGTTTTCAATCTGCATCCTGAAAACTCATGAACTTTTAAACATGTTAGAAAATAATTTTGTCAAAGGGGTTCCAGAACTCCATTCCAGCACATTCGCCCAGGAAAAAAAGCCCGGATGTTTGGACATCTTTTGACTAGTTAATGTTCACATTATCTGTTTGGCCCTTTTTGTATGTGCATCAATTATTATTGGCCTTATAAAAGTTTACAACCTCTGGTGCAGGGGTGGCCAAACTTGCTTAACGTAAGAGCCACATAAAATAAACGCCAGATGTCTGAGAGCCACAAGACATGAACACACACGTTTTTATTGGAAAATATGCAAATGTGCATATTAAATAAAAGAGACAAATGCCTTCTCCGAGCCGAGCCAGTCTGCCGGTGCGGTGGGGCTTGGAGAACACATTTGACTTTAGATGGGGAGGGAGGGGAGAAAGAAAGTAGAAAGAAAGCAAATAGATGGGGGAGTGAGTGAGGGGTGTGCGTGCTGTCTTGGCTGGTTGCCACAGAGACCACACACTGGAAGCTGTAAACATGGTCCGGAATAACCAAAAAAAAAAACCCAAAAAAACCATGGTCCGGAATCAAGGTAAGCAACAAACACGGTCCGGAATCAAGGTAAGCAACGGAGCCAAAGGTCGAAGAGCCGGGAAGTCAATTCAAGGTTGCAGGTTTCAAGGGCAAGGAGCGGCTGCTACACACACAGAAGCAGGTCTGAGTATACAGAGTTGCTGCCACGCTGGAGCAGGTACACGGGGTGCTTTTGAGCAGGTCCTCCCTTCCCTGGGAGTTGAGTCTGCCAAGGCTTACAACTCCTCCCGCTGCCTTTGCAGGAACTGCAGTCTGGCACTCCTCTCCTGCATAGTCAGCCTCTGCCGTGCCCAACATCTGGGGCATTCGGGAGAACTAGGCGGGGAGTCTGGCCTCGGGGTGTCTGCAACTGGGGGTGCTGGGCCAGGCTCTCCTTCTGGCTGCACCTCCTGTGCAGCTGCTGGGGACTCTTCCTCCTCAGGTATTGTTGAGGATTCTTCTTCTGGGCTGACTCCAGAGGAGGCTGGGTTGCTCCCTGCCTCTTCCTCTTCTGAGGAGTAGTCAGACTCAGCAGAGCCAGGACCCACGACAGGGGGAGGGAGAGGTGGAAAGAAAACAACTTTAACTTCAAGTGCATCCTCCAAGCCCCCATGCCGGCTGGCTAGGCTTGGAGAAGGGATTTAAAAAGACAAATGCCTTCTCCAAGTCAGCTGGCAGGGGCGGGAGGGGGGCCTTTGAGAATGCATTTAAAGTTCAAGTTTGCAAGGGGGGAGGGGATCATAGAATCACAGAGTTGGGAGGGGCCCTACAGGCCATCTAGTCCAACCCCCTGCTCTGTGCAGGATCAGCCTAGAGCATCCCTGACCAGTGTTTGTCCAGCCGCTGCTTAAAGACTGCCAGTGAGGGGGAGCTCACCACCTCCCTAGGCAGCTGGTTCCACTGTTGCACAACTCTGACTGTAAAAAAGTTTTTCCTAGTATCCAGCTGATACCGTCCCGCCCTTAATTAAACCTATTATTGTGAGTCCTCTCCTCTGCTGCCAACAGGAACAGCTCCCTGCCCTCCTCTAAGTGACAGCCCTTCAAAGACTTAAAGAGAGCAATCGTGTCCCCCTTCAACCTCCTCTTCTCCAGACTAAACATTCCCAGGTCCCCTCAGCCTTTCCTCACAGGGCTTGGTCTCCAGGCCCCCGATCATCCTCGTCGCTCTCCTCTGTACCCACCCCATTCTGTCCACATCCTTTTTGAAGTGAGTCCTTTAAAACTGCACACAATACTCTGTGTGCAGCCTGACCAATGCAGTGTACAGTGGGATTATGGCATCTTGCGATTTGGATGTTATGCTTCTGTCGATACACCCCCATGATCGTATTAGCCCTTTTTGTCGCTGCATCACACTGGCTGCTCAAAACGTACGGTCCACCCATACCCCAAGATCCTGTTCACTTACATTGCTACCCAGAAGTGTATCCCCCATCCAGTATGTGTGTTCATCATTTCTGCCTTCTTGGGCCACATTCCCCAAGCACAGTTCCGCAGGGCCTGTGAAACAGAGCTGTTCCACCAGGCCTGTGATTGAGTCCCCTGATTGAGGAGTGTGACAACTTCCTCGATGGGCCTCCCTCTTGTTTCCCTTTTTTGACCTTCCCCCAATGCTGATGATTATAATCCTCTGATGAAATTGTTCTATATGCACCATCTATGTACTAGGATTGGTTTTTTAAAAATTTTAACAACTATATTTGTGGGTGTTTTATAATATGTTGAAAGAAAAGGAAAAAATATACTAAAAGAAACTGAATTCAAAAATATGTTAAAGGTTAAATCCTGTTCTCATTTTGGAAACAAAGAGTCAGCAGATTACTGGAGGATGAAAGATGATAGTATGAAGGTTCTATAATATTGATAGTAAGACTAGTTTTTCTGAAAAGTTAATAAGGAAACTTTAAGGAAATTGTAATAATACGTGTAATATTAGGTCTTACTCAATGCAGAAGAGATATGGAAGATGAGTTCAAAATATGCAAGAAATGTGGTTTGATTGGTTCATTACTCTGTGCTGATGGTGAAGATAAGTGTTGTTATAGGATCTTTTATGTAATCATGTTGTTGATTTGGTTGATATGTACGAAACAAGTTGATATGATAAACCCCAATAAATATATTGTTTAAAAAAAAATATGTTGTTATACTCGCCCTGAGGCCTGCTCTGGCAGGGGAGGGCGAGTCAGAGATCAAATCAATCAGTCAGTAATCAGGATCTAGGTCTGTTCGCATCACTGAGTTCTATGAAACTCAACATAGAATGGAAATGAAATCATAACCTTTCCTGGTGTTTCGCTTGCAGGGAGAAAGAGGGAAGCCTGGCCTGCCGGGTGAAAAAGGAGACGCCGGAGAGCCTGTAAGTAAAAGGACATGTTTGACTTCGAGTGGGGGGATAGTCAGGTGATGGAATCCCTTCTTTGGGGAAATGGGTTTCAATTATTATTTTGAACTGTCCATTAGATGCCTTACTTAGCTTCAGTGACACTCCTCATTTAACCCATAGATTTTGAATAACGCCACATTAGAATCCGCATAAACCCCGCTGAAAAATCATCTAAAGTCATTTTCTGCTTCCCATAACATATGAAAACATTTCTCAACGGCCAAAGCGTTGCCTGACTCTACCCCAGCCAAATGTTTCCCTAATTTTTTCCCCTGCTGATGCACCTACCATCCCACCTAGGAATGGAATAATCCATAAATCTCTCACAATTGAGAAAAGGCACACAGGCGTAGCCCAAGAGGGAACCTTCCTATAATGATCATTCGTGAATTGAGATGGCATAAAAGTCAACTTGGCAGGCACAAAACCTCTCCTGTGTCAGGGCACGGTCAATTGCTTAATGTAGAGTGGAAGACCTCTGGGTTAGGACAATCCCAAGTAAGTGGGAGAACAAAGTCTACATGCTGTAACGTGAGAACTATCTGCTAGATGCCGTGAAGGTGCTGTTCCTTTTAGGAGAGCCAATTCAAGACTGATTTCACTTAGTACAGTGAACATATTTGCTCTGGTAAACCAGAGATGTATGTTAGGATGCTGTGGATCCCTGTTGGGTGATGGCCTATCTCTAGTACTCCAGTATCAGTCCACCAAGCATCCCATGTGCTTGCATGGATGTGGGTCCCAGGTGTTGACAGACATGCAAAATAATATTTGCAACATAATACTTGCTACTACATGAATCTGAACTGGTTCCCCACTCACTGTTGCCCTTTGTCGATTCACATGAGCCAGTTTGATGCAGTCACCAAATCGCTCGCTCACAACTTTAAGGCCCGTAGCTCACAAAGTAGAATTTTTGCTCACAAGACCTCACAGCTTAGAGGGAACATTGGACTCCCAGGTGTTTACAGACATGCAAAATAATATTTGCAACATAATACTTGCTACTACATGAATGTGAACTGGTTCCCCACTCATTGTTGCCCTTTGTCGATTCACATGTTTAGTTATACGAGGGGTCCCCAACCTTTTTTTTTTTTTTTTTTTTTTTTTTTTTCTTTTTTGCTTTTTTCTTTTATATTATTTAAAAATGAAAAAAAACGATTGCCTTAAGTGATTTTGCATAAAGGCAGCATATTAATACAGTAAAATATGTATTTATTTAGGTTATTTCTATGCTGTCTCTTCATAGACCTGACTGAGGCAGCTTACAATTAAAATCATCACAATACAAAAAAGCCATTAAAAACAAGCCATTAAAACCCAAGTGACTGGACATAAATAGCATAAAGCTATCCATAAAACAAATGCAGACCATAAAAATACTGGTAAGATAAAACCCCTAATTAAAAGCCTGGGTAAAAAGATGTGTTTTGCCCTGGTGCCGTAAAGTAGGTGACAGGCGAGCACCGAGGGGGAGGGGTGTTCCAAAGGTGAGGTGCCACCACACAAAATGCTCATCTCTGAAGACGGGGGGGGGGGGCTAGA